AAAAAAGTTTTAGAAGAAATCTCTCCACATTTGGCTTAATAGTAAAATTTATTTATAAAATTTGCAGATCCTCTTCAAATGATAGATGAATTGTCTATTAATATATTGATAATTCTTATTTACTTTCACTATATATATTTTTTACTAATAGTTTATTTTTTATATAGCTATATATAATATTTTGATCTTTATTTTAGAACAAAAAATTTTATAATATTACAAAATTAAAGTACTATTATGCTTTTAACTAGTAGTATAGTAAGCTTTATAAAATATATTCTATATATCTTGAATAATTTTATAAAAGTTGACAAGCTTGATAATAAAAAATTAACTTTACTATCATATACCCAATTTTTGGAATTGAATTAAATAAATATAAATTTAATATTTTTTTTAATAGCTAATAACTTTTGAACTACTGGTTTATATTTAATAAAACAATCACTAAAATGTTTGTCTCAACAAAAGAATTCAACAAGTTTAAAATCATTAAAATTTAATTACTAGATCATGAGATCAATAAAGTTTTTTACAAAGTTGATATATTTATAGAGTGAGAAATTGGTTAGATCACATCTAACTAATTTTTCTACTTTATAAATATATTAATTTTGCAAAAATTTTATCAATCTTATGATTTAATAATTAGATTTTAATGATTTTGAACTTGTTAGAATCTTCTCATCAAGATACACATTTTGGTAGTTATTTTATTAAAAATAGACCAGTAGTTCAAAAGTTATAAACTATTAAAAAAATATCAAATTTATTGTTCGAAGGACATTACTGTAGAGGCATAGAGTACTCAATATCTGTGTGTCCAAAATCAAGAGTTTTAATTGGTTAATTTCTATTTGGATTAGTCTGAATAATAAAAAATACATGGTACACAAAATTTAACCAATTAAATTTAAGATCACTGTAAACTAAAAAATCAAAATATCAAAACAATTACAAACTAAGTTATTATAGCGATTTGCAAAATTATGTAATTAAAAAGAAAAGTAATTATTAAACATTTTATCAAATTTTGCAAACTGAAATAATTTACAAATCTTCCTAAATGCACGCATGTCTAACTATTACCAAAAGATTAATTAAGTAATAAAAATGATTAGTGAAATTATTATTCCTGGTTAATAAACTATTTGTCGAATTATTTTTTTGTGCTGGATCATCGTTACTACTATACATTATATTATAAAAATGTAAACAATACAGTAATCGATCTATGACATATTTATATATGATTGGTTAAAAAAAAGTGATGTGGCTTTTTTATTAGATAATAACATTTTATGTGCTTTATTCTTTGTTGAATTTTGTAATTTGTCATGATTTTATCATTCATCATTTCACCAAGCATCAGAGTAAGAACACAAAGTATTCAGCTTACTACTTTTTTACTAGTTGTAAATGTTCATTATATATGGAAAGAGAACCTCATGTAAACTGTTTTTGATATTAAAACACTTCTTTAAAATACAGACTTTTCAAATCCTATTATTTTCAAAATTCTGAGAAAAAATAAAGTTACATTAAGCCGTATTAAAGTTTTTGTAAGATACTAATAAACTTTTTTAACTTATTAAATAGCTCTGTTCTATCTCGAATCGATGTTTTTACTGGATCTGCTTCTCTTTGGTTAGCATATACAAAAATTAAAATAAGTATTTTATTAACTCTCATTACGCTTACCTATAGCAAAATAAGTTCTAGTTCTATTGATTACAGAATAAACCCAGAATACTATATATTGATATACGCGCTTTATATTTTATGCCCAAAGCTAAACATGTAATATTGATTATTGATATAAATAAAATTTACTTTATTATGTATTAAAATAATGAAGATAAGCATTTATTTTATATTAAAACCTATTGACATAAAAGACTCTAATAGAATATTTTATTTCAGTCTTATTTCTAGGCCTATTAACCTTTCTTCTTCGAGAATTTATTCATGAAATCTTTTACATTTTTGTATATGTTGAAGTCTCTTAAATGAAAAATGTTTAAAAATTATATTGCTAAGAGAACGAACCCGAGAGATGGCTACAAATGATAAACCTGCTACAAACTCATTTTTTCTAAGATCGATCATAGCTTTTGGTAAGGTCAAACCTTGAGATTTGTATATGGTTATAGCCCACGCAAGAAAAAGAGGAACCTGCAAACGTAAACATATTCCAGACTTACCTTCCCATGTGCGCTGTATAGAAGCAATTGGAATGACCTGAATACCTTCAGAAGTGGTAATGGTAGGTCTATTATATTTGTCAAATATCACTAAAACAGCTGTAGGAAGTAAATTATTCTCATGATTGTCATTGAAAAAAATATTTTCTACGATTCTCATTGCACCATTGACGAGACCAGCTGCTGTCCAAAGATTTGCACTAAGCATAACACGTACACCTTTGGCTAGCAGTATCTCTGCTTCTAGACCTTTGGCATCATCTGAATCCGCTTTTTTTGCCTCAGTTCCACCAAGTGTATGAACAGCACAAATCTTGGCAACTAGACAATTTAACATGCAAAGCTTGTTGATATTGATATTATCAATATCTATCTATTTTGATAATATACAGGTAGCACTTGAAAAGGTATCTCGTTCTGATGCAGTTAAATGTTCTGGAAGTCAAGTCATCATTGTTTCTCAGTCTAATTGAATAGATTTACTATCACGTAAGCATAATAAGAGATCTCAAAATTGATATTGCACTACTGATTCATCAGCTTGCCGTTGTATAATGTCAAGCTTATAAACTTCCTGAAATTGACTATAAACTGTATATCCATCTTCAGATATAGGGTTAGAAGAACGAGTCTTAGCATACATTAGAAGATCACATACCGGAGAAAGTTGTCCGAAGTTGTCTACAAAAATCATTAAACGATCACTGAAAGAAATATTGTGACAATTCAGAAAAGTCTAATGAAGTTGCAAGTCAATTAAAACAAGAATGCAATGCCCCACTACTGCACTATGCTCATTTCATCAACAATAATATATATCATGTTCCGTAACTTATTTTAAAACCATTTTAGCTGTTCATCTACTAAGTCAAAATTTTTTGTACCAATAGGAATAGAAAGAACAGAGTGGATGGTACTGCCTCAGATATTAAATGCTGTAATACCTATTGGTGCAAGCAAAATAATATTGGTGAATCATTTTCAAATAGGCTATTTTCACTTGCTATTTTATAGAGACAATTTCTGACTGCTTTAATTAAGTAAGACTTTCTAGTTCCTGCAGTACTTATGATTATAATTCATAACAGCTTTACTTCTTGGCCTGAGATTATCATATGATAATGAGATTCGATCCAAGAAAATACTACTCTTTGTTTATAATTTAATGTCTTAGGATCGATTGTGTCAAGACTTTCAATATCTGACAACAAACTTTTACCATGTGCTTGTTAAATAAAGTTATCAGCATTTTCAAGATCAGGGTATCACTATTTGCTTTCACCAACCCAATCATAGTTTATGTTAATATTACGGAAACCAAATTCAAGAGATACATGTATTTGTGTGTTGGGGTCTATCTCTGCCAAAGACATCCAACTAAATCGAATTTCTTCTTCATCCTCTTCCTGATCTTCTATATTATCATTATTACTGCTGTTACTACTACTATCTTCTTCAAGACTGTCTACTTCAAAGCCAATTAGATTATTGGGTTTGTATTGATTTTTGACAAATTATGATCATATAATTCTTCCCATGAGAGAATATTGCTATTAGTGAGCTGGTGGAGATTTTGGTAGCAGACATGAAAAAGAACTTTTGTGTGACAAAAATCTTGCTATTGTGAACCATTTTGCAAAGAGAAAGCCCAGGGCCATATATGTACAATATTGTCTTTATTACACTTAACCCATTTCACTTTGACAAATTTGTAATGCAGGTATAGTTGGAAAAGCGAAAGATCCTTTAAATCATATGATTGATCCCAGTACAATTGCAAAGACGAAAGTCCTGTTTTTCTGGTACTGTTTACTTCATGATTAAATTCATCATAATCGTATTCTTTCCCACTACTACGAAGCCATCGTGGTGCCTCCTTATTAAGGTTTAATATAACAAAATTGCAACTACTGTGGTAAAGAGAAATTCCGAGAAAGAGATAGCACGTTTCTTGGGCTAAATAGTTATGCTCTGATATAGTATAAAGAAGTAGTTTTTGGAATGCAATAATTGACTTATTATCTGGGTTACTACTACTAAGAGCTTTGTCTAAAATTTTGGAAAATGCCTGAGATCATAGTTCAGCTTTGCTTGTATACTTAAATATATATTGCAAAGCAGTATAAGTTGTAAGTATAGGTTTAAAGTTCACATTTGCTCTTCACCCCTGGAGTTGAAGTCGATTATGCGGATTGATAAGAGGGTCATTCCTGACAGTAATTAATTCTGGGTGACCATGCTTATCAAATTGTACAAGAGTTTGATCTCTTAATTCTTTTAGAAAACCAAACCTACAAGATTGCTGATTCGTCTGTTTATTAACTTTTAAACAGTATGATATATTACAATGAGTGTGCTTTTGTAATTTGTTTATAAGCTCTATATAGTTTTGTAACCCATCA